TTATGAAAGGTGAACATGCCCGTTCCAACAAATGGAAATTGTGAGTGAACTAAATCACTTCAGAAACAGGGAGCACATTTTTAACAAAGAGGATAATTTCATGATTAGAGCCCCATCAGGGGTTGTGATGAACTTCCCAATGTAAATCTCTGAATCAAAGCAGGATTTTGCTTTTTGTGCATATGCAGGGAAGTTAGAGCTTGGTGCAAAAATAGCTGGATGGAATGATTTCACTTGTAGAAGGTCAGACTGGGAAAAATAGAACTGGGAAAAATCATTGAAGCACTTCCTGATGTAGAGGTCCTGTAGCCTAGAAATCTGTGATACAGCCAGTAAATACCAGGCTGGCTTCACTCTTGTCTTTCAGAACTCCTACTAGCACCTCCAGAAGTAACAAACATTTAAGGGACATGGCTAACTAACCCACTGGAAGGATATTTCAAATATGCATGAGTTCTAAAATTTTGCATCCAAGGAATTTAAAAAATGTCTCCATTCCTACAGAGTACTTCCCTCTGGTATAAATTAAGATATTATTGTGTTTGGAAAGCTTGGAATTGTTCTGTTTTGTGAGAGCACTTTTGAAAACATATTTTGTTCTATGTGAGTGTAGTATTTGTGGGAAAAAGAAAAAAAAAAAAGTTAGAATGACAACTTTAGAGAATGAGCTGACCGTATCACTGAGCAGTTACACCAGAAACCATAACAAAGCTTACAACTGGCTCGTGATGTTTAAACGGATGCTGAGTAGTTCAGCTACTCTGGCCATGTTACGCACGGCTTCCTGAATGGCAATTGTTGGAATAGTAATTTCATGACAAAACTATTAATCCGTTTGGCATTTGTTGAAAATGATCAAGGCATTTCATAAGAAACCCTTAGACATCCTGCAGACTATTACTGATTTCTACAGTTGAATTAGTGGCCGTTAGACAAAAGATGATTATGTGCTATCACCAATATCTAGAAACACTCAGTGACTCTAAGCCATTAAACATTAGCTAGTGTAATTTGACATGGCAGCACTCAAAAGTTAAAGATTAACATCTGCTGTAGATCTTATCTAATTGAATTTAACTCAGATGTTGCAGTAGACATTTTCTGTCCCAGGGTTGCATAAGAGGGAATGTTTGTTTCTGTTCCCAAAAGTGAACTGCACTATTGAAAAGTTTAAGAAGTATCATCCTATGTTTTCTGTAGTTCTCAGTTCTAGAAGAAATTTTTGAAGTAATTGCATGAAACCATGAGGCGTTCGAATGAAAGTTAAAAGTCAACAGAAGGTTTGCTTCTGAGCTGCTACTTGGTGCATTTGATCTTGTGTTTGTCTTATCTCTTCCTAGCTTTCTCCCTTCTAATGAAGGAATTGTTTTATGGACATTTATAGACCTTCAGATTACTTTCTTCCCTGCAGCATTTCTTCTAAGTATGGCAACTTGCAAGCCTGTATGCTATCTTGGAATTGCTGAAAGATTATGATCTTGAGAATTACTTAGGCTGTAGCTTGCAAACAATGGCCCTGTCAATAGCAACTGGGATAGGAAAACCTTAGAAATCCAATTCCATGTATATATTTCACATTCTGAGTTTATTTACAATTTTATTCTGCCTCATCATAAACAAAGTGGAAGAGTCTGCAGTCCCTCACACATCTTCGGGCAGGTAGACTAAACATTTTAAACTGGCAAGTTCCTTCCCACTGAGCTGTGTCTAATGGAGGAGCATCCTCACCTTATGCTGTAATGTCAACCTCTCTAGGCCTGGCTGCTGCAAGTGGTGAGTAATCACAGAATCATAGGGGTTGGAAGGGACCTCTGGGGATCTTCAGGTCCAACCCCCCTCCCTTGCCAAAGTAGGTTGCACAGATTGTAATGTGTTGTATATAGTGAGAATCGTTGTATTCCTACATATGGATTTTTGAATGCCTGGTGTTAACTTCTTAAATGTGAGAACTTAGCTACAGGATCGTGTACACACACAGAAGAGACTGCTGTAGAGATAATTTATGGTAAACTGAATGATTTGCTCATACTTCTGGTTTAGAAACAATGAATTTTCAAGAGACGCGTTTATGGGTGAAACACATTAAACAGTGGACAGGCTTCACCCATCATTTCTGTTTTTCATCAAACCCAGTAAAATGTCAGCCTCAAATAGAAATGAACGAGCTGACTTATCTTTCCCTTATTTCAGCAGAGTGGTGTTGCCAGTTGCTGATTCACTGTCCCAGAGTTAGCTGGAGGGAGTCATTTGCAAATGCGTTAAAAGAAACAGCTAATACCTGGGGATATGCTAGCAAGTTTACCCTAGGCAGATAAAGGAAATACTGCTTTGCTGGTACGGAATCTTCTTTACCAAGAAATCTGATTATCCTGTAGCATCATTCCACAGCAGTAGGATTTCTACAAAAGAAAGTTTTCCTAATGTTGGATATCATTAAAAGTGTATTCTTATGTGTGTGCTCTTTTCTCAACGCTCAGTATGTAATTCCTGTTCCGGAAGTTAGATGCATCTATCAGGAGAACATCTCCCTGGGGTATTAAATGGTGTTATTCTGCTTCTTTGCATGTAACTTGACAGAGACAAATATAATCATCCAAGCTACTGAATTTGAGAATGATCTGTGTTTTTCCCCAGATCCATTCAAAGTGATTCTACTCCCAAGGGATTACATTTGAGTCTAACTTTCTTCTGATTTACCATTTTAGCTGAACTGAGAGTAATTTCTTTTTCATACTGTTTTCCTTAATCTGTCATTCAAATCTTTCTGTGTGAGGACAAAATGGTTCATAAACATTATTTGCTTGCAGGTAAATGCCTCCTAACAGCAAAAAGGAGCTCTGAATAGAGCCTCTCCATAAATACATTTGCATAAACACTGACAGAGGTGTCTGTGTGTGTGCAAAGGATGTGGATATGTTGAATAAGACTTTTTACTTGGAAGCTATACTTCAGATAGACTAGGAAGGGCAGGTTATGCTCAAATCTAGAAAAGGTTTTTGTCAGAATGCATGGATGCTTTGTACACTGGGACCATAGCAGGGGTATCATTTGTTGGAGGATATGCCTTAACTTAAATTCCATATTTCCCAAGTATTCCAGAAGTTAAGAGGGCTTCAAAAAGCTAAGCAAAATGAGGCTTATTTTCTGATCTCTAACATCAGTAGATTTCATATTAATCTTAAACCAAAATCCCCAAGTTTTATCATGACTTGACTGTCATGACAAATTTTGCACCCTAAACACATTTTTGTTTTGTTTCCTTACTTGTTTATGGATGGAAAGAAGGAACAGTGGCGGTAAAAGAGCTTTCAAAAAAAAATCTTGCTAATGCCCTTCTTTTATCTGGAAAACCAAATATTTATAAATCCCTCTGAATCGTGTAACTGTGTAAGGATTGCTGGTTTAAAAGCACAGTTGTCTGGTTAATCAATTTAAATGCTTATTTTGAATGGGCAGCTGTGAGTCTTCTTGTGTACACAGTTTCTCCCCACATTCATTGTTGTGTTATGAAATATTATAGAAATTGTGGTCTGATTGTGTAGGTGAACAGTCATACTGTTTTCTGTAGTGTGAGATAGAGGCTGTCTCTAAGCAGAGCTTCCTTCCTTAAGGTGGACCTGCAGTGTTGTGGCTGAAGACAGTTTGCTTGTCCATTTCCAATCCTGGCTGTGTTGATTGTTCAGATTGTGCTTTAAGAATGCCTGGACCTGCACAAAGCAGCCCCTGACCCAGGACTTGAATGTGCTTCAACATCTGGCACAGAAGATGCACTTGTAATGACCAGTTACATTAGCTTAATATGGAGCCATGTGTGGGAAAATATTCAAGTTTGAATTCTTCTACCATGGTGAAAAGACAATGCAAAACAGCAGAACTGCAATTTATGTACTCTAAACCATTCAGTTATACCTTAAATATTCTAATTAAGTGACTTAATTACATCACTTGGGCTCTAGTATTTTTGAATGTAACCTTTTAACTGATGTTTGAACAGATGCACCCCAATAACATGCAATTCCAATCATGGTATTATATTTTGAGACTGCCTTTGATTTCTTTTTGTTAAAGAACCAAGTCTTGTAAGTAATACTATAAAGAAATGTAGTCAGAATCAGGCTCTTTGAAGATGAGAGTTAAAGTTCAACAAGAAGTTTCAGAGCAAAATCTCATACTCAGATAAGACCTCTGTCTGGGTTGACAGAGAGTTTTCCCTGAGTAGTGGTAGTTTCAGGCAAATATTCATCAGATTTTCCCCTGAAACAAAACAGAATTGGGGTGATTTGGCTGAATTTTGTTGGTTTTTTTCTTTTTCTTTTTTTTAATTCAAATTAGTGATCTGCAGCAAGATTAGGTATTTCACTTCAGAGTGAGGATCTGAGTGAGTGCTTTGTCTGTTCCATTTGCATATTCCTTTCTCCTGAAAACAGTGTGTTCTTGAACAAGATTACTCTGACTCCTTCAGCATCCTGTGAAGATGACCACTGGTGGGTCTTTCTTCTGCTTGCTATTAAAGTTGGAGAGTGATAGCTGTCATTTCAAATGTCTCCCATAAGTCTTGGTGACTGACTTGAGATGCCAAAAGTACTTTTCCTGCACAGTCCCCTGCAGAGTCACACTCCTGCTTACTTTTGTGATGGATTTGAGCAGTTACAGGGCCTATTCTGAAGAGTGTTTGCAAATATTTCTGGGGAGAAACATCACGCCCTTTCTTCTCTGCTCAGAAGGACCACACCATCTCCTGTCTCAGAGCAGGTGGTGTTTGAAAGCAGCCCACTTTCAGGCCAGAGCTAGCCTAATATTCCTCGTGGCTATGGCACAGTGGGCAGCCTGGCAGTGGGCCTTGAGTGCAGTGCAGCCCATGGGGTCGTATGCTCAGGGCTGACCAGTCTGGGTGCTGCTGTTGAAATACACGGTTTTCCATTGCCCTAGCCAGGCGTTCCCGCCCCTCACGCCACATTATTTGTTGCGTTTGCGTGGTCAGGTAGCTGTCTAGACTGGAGAATGGTTCTGGGTTCAGACTGTCCTTTTGGAGGCGGAGGGAGGCTCAGTGAGGTGAATATTAATGCAAATCAAACCCCCAGTCTGGTTCCTCTGTGAGGAAAAAGGGCATGCAGTGTGGGATGGGAGCCAATAACCAAAGGAGGTGAGCTGGACTGCTGTTTTGGTTTTTTGTTTGTTTGTTTGTTTTTTGCAAACTGTGACCATTTGTGCGGATATTTTCAGTATGGGCTCACTGGAGAGGAAAGGAAAAGGGAAGATCTGTTGTGTTCATGATGCTTAAGAAAGAAATCAGTCATTTCTCTTAACACAGTGTGAGGACCTCTCCAAGAGGCGGACAATTGTTGTTCTCAAAATATGTGTTTCCTTGCGTAAAAAAAAGAATGGTACTAAAAATAGGATGTCAGTAATGGTGTGCAAATGGGAGGCTGTGCAGTGGGATCCCAAAGGAGTGATCTGCTGAGGGCTGTGGAAAGCTGCGCGTGACAGGAGCCCTCTGGGCCCTCAGAAACTGCCCTGGAGCTCACATTGCAGTGACCGTGCTTCCTATCATTAGAACGCATCATACGGAGGGAAGATAGGTATGGCCTTATATGCCTTCCAAAAACTGTCCAGAAAGTGTGCCAGTAGTTTCAAGGGAATATTGCCAGCAACAAATAAAATGAAAAATGAAAATATGAAACAGCGAATACGACAGCGGTAGTTTTTTTTTTATGATTCACAAAGCAACCTAGCTGTATGAAAGGTAGCCTGAGGGAGTGAGAAGTAACTTTGAATTTCCTTTCTGTGTGGTTTGTCAGTCTTAAATGTTTGTGCTTCATTTTCTCAACTTTAAAAAGCAAATAAAACTCTTCCCCCGAAGTAACGTATTTCGTGACCTTCTGTAAAGGTTTTTGTCTCAAACCAGAGAGGATCTGCACATGCCTGTCAGTCTCCTGAGTGAATGAGCAGTGTTAATAAACACGTGCTGGTCTGATTTAACCCTTCCTAAGCTACAGTGGTTGATATAAAAATATTTCTTACCGTTTCCTGTGCATTTTAGGTATCTTAATGTTCTTTTGAATACACTGTGGACACATTTAGCAAGAGTTCAGCTTCAGCAAGAGTTAAAGTGTAGTTTTAGGATGTTCTTCAGGAACGATTTGGCTTTCTTTGCAACCAGAGTCACTGTGCGCTGTCAGTTTAGGGGTCAGTCTTGCATTTGGAAGAAATTGTTTTCCGTCAGCTGCTTAAAGCTTCCATATTCTTGTTAAAAATGGTGCAGGTGGTCATCAGGTATGTTACGAAAGTTTTTCTACATATGGAATTCACATGTCTTGAGCTTACAGTTGATTTAAAAGTAACTGAGTAAACCACAGCAACTTCACGAGTGATAATTCTCAATTCTGACACTGGCTAAACTGAGGTAAGTCAATCACGCTTTAAAAGGACTTGGAGATTGGCACACAAAACTGCACAACCTCAACCCCTTTGATTTGATCAGTTAATCTGATGTGGTGTTGTGAGGATGCCAGGCCAGGCCTTAGTTTTTTGAAGCCATTTGTAAAGTTAAATGTGACAAGGCCAGATACTAACTATGACTGAGGCCCCGTAGGAGTGTCAGTTCTGAGTGCCTGGCTGAACGTATATGTTACTATTTCTGATTTCTGTGTGGCTTTGGTTCCACACTGTTCTGTGGGAGCTAAGGGCTGCCTGCTTTAGTGCTGCAGCAAGGAGGAGGCATGGAAGTTGTCTACAGGGGAGAGGAAGGACTGTGCCCATGTGTCGACCTACTGTGGAAGTCACAGGTACAACAACAGCAATTCCCCACGGGAACAAAGGCAGAATTTGGCAATATGATACAGAAGGAAGCTTGTAACTTTGCACTTAGCAGTTATCACAAAACAGACATTCATTACTGCTAGTAATTTCTTTAGATAAGCAGTGTTGATACCTTAAGAATACAATCCTTTTCTTATTTTTTTTCTTCTTTAATAATCTCATGGATTTTTCAGTTTGTATGGGGCACTGAGCCCACTCAGTGGGTTTGCATTTAAACTGAGGAACCTGTTTCTGCAGAATACTTTGATTAGTTGAGGTAACGTGGTGATAATGTTATTAGAAAATGTCCGGAAATGCTGTCCCACGTGTACTAGCTGAACCCTCAAATTTCCCTGTTGGAAACTGGAAATTTAATAAATAGATGCTTGAAAATAGAGTTGAATGGCTTCCAAGTGGACGTTCCTCATGTCTCTTGTAGTAAAAGAAAGAAGGACAAAAACTAAACTTTTGGAAGGAATTTGTGCTTTTTCAAGAGAAATGGTTCAGCTACCCTAAAGTTGTTATGAAGATTGAAAATCTCCGTCATATTTTCAAGTAGTTTATTGGTGGCAGTGTGACTGTTGAGGGGGCAGGAGTGCAGAGAAGCATGTTTCTGTAAACAGACTAATTAAATAGTCGGAGAGAGAGGTAGAATAGGTTCAGAAACTCCATTCAAGCTAGTTAGAAGGTTCTGAAGCATGTTTTTGTCGTGGTGAGGATCTGCAGTTGGGCGTGGAGGCATTTGTGTTTTTCTGAACCAGAAGTATTCTTAATTGTGTACGTGTAAATACTGTGGGATTTGCCCCACAAGCTCCTCTGTCATGAAAAATATTTTCTGTTTTTCTGCGTTACAGAAAGAACTATTTAATACTTGAATGCCTACTGTCTATTTTCAGAGCATCTAAGTTGGAAAAATATTTGTATGAATCCAAAGTGTTTATACTTTTTCAGCTCTGTTTCAAGTGAAGTAATGGCAGCTTTTACTTTGCAAACAGGGTTTCAAAGGAGGTGAAGTTGCAGGATATGCAGAATTAGCATGAGGTCAGAATTAGCTATGCAAAGGTCAGTCCTGAACTATGGATCATTCTTGTTTTAACAAAGCAGGGAAGCTCTTTTTCCCAGTCTTCTGAACCAGATGAGCATTGCTGTCCTTGATATCTGAAGTCACAGAAGGAGTTAACCACCAAAGACAGCTTCCAGTAAATTCCAAACTTAATGCATTATGCAGGAAAACTAGACCCTGTAGTCATAGCTGAATAAATTGGTCTTCATGTTATATCACACATCATTTTCCAGTGCTTCATGCTGCTTACTGGCTGTGTTAGGGAGGCTGCGGGTTAAAATCAGAAGAAGATGAAACATCCCTTTGAGTGCCCTATGGGAAGTCATCATTTAGATAATTTTTTCAGCCTTTTTGCCTGAAGACAGTATTCATTTGTTCTGCCTATTGTAGGCTACCATGGAGCGCTAGACAGTGGTCAGAAAATGCAAAAGAGAACAGCGAGTTAAAATCTGCAGGTAAAAACCTAGGTCATTAGTCAAAGTATCACAACAGTGTTATTCTTGTTGTCTGTTTTCAGAGTATGATCACATCTCATTGTAAGTGCTGAGCTAGAGTCTCTGCACCTGAACTAATGTCAGTCAGGAGTCATTTCAGTGAAGACAGATAGCTCAGTTCTGAGACGTGATTGAGGCAGGCAGCTCACTACCATTCCTTGTATGAGTGAAAGGAGCCTAACCCATGATTAAAACTGCCATTGTTAGCTCATTTTGGAAGTAGTGGATAAAAATAGTATTATTTTAGTGCATTAAATACTACAATGATTTTTATCCTCAGGATCTCCAGCTTAATGTTCTGTTCTCTGCCTTATTTTCTCCAGTTGTGTCCCACCCCCTCACTTCTGCTGGATATGATTCTGTTTCCATGTCAGTGCCTACAGCAATCCCTAAAGCAGGGTTTTGGCAGTTCCACATTCTGCTAAAAGCCAGGCACAATGAAGTTTTCTAACTCCTGTTCCTTTTCCTTTTGCCTTCTCCCTCTGTGCATGCCCTTCTTGCTCCTTATGGATCTGTGGGTTGGAAATAGTGGTTTCCACATTTAAATGCAGCCCACCCAATGGCCTTCCTGTAGTGAGCCAGCTCTTCTACTTTGGCCTTCCTTTGGTGAACTGGGGGTGACCGCACTATTCTGGATAGACCTAGCTCATCAGAACAGTTTCTAGCAGACTTCTCAGGTATAAGTGAAGAGCAGAGGCTGCAGTCCATGTGCACCATTGGAAGGCCTTTGGGCTCTAGCTGGGTGGTCTCCCCCATCTCATAGTAGCTGCTTTGTGATAGAATGGATCATGAGACAGTTGGATGAACGTGTGTATCCTTGCATTAACAGTTATACTGTTACCATCTGATTGGTGTGACGTTTTTTTTTTCATGTGACAGGCAAGACCCTTTACCTAATAGGGAAAAGCTATGATGGGCATCTCTGCCAATTAATTCATGAAGTGGTATTAATAAAAATGACATTATTTTGGTCTTTGTTCTTCACAGAGCCTTGACTAGGCTTGATCAGACAGGAAAGCAACACAGTAGTCCCAACCATTTTGCAAACAAGTGCATTTATCACAGAAATGTATGTATTTAGACATCAACTAAGAGAACTGCTGTGCTAGGCTGGAAGGCTGAGGATCAAAAGGAAACCTAAAAGGTGAAGAACCTTAAGGAAGAAAAGGGGTTGACTTGCTAGGGTCAGACCAAGCTGACTTCAGTGATTTGTGACCATCTGTGATACAGGATGATGCAGAGCGGAGCTTGGTTTTCTGGAGTCCTATCATGGGAACAGTTAAATATAGTGAATTTAACATTTGTGGAGCCAGCTTTGCTCTGATATATTTGAGTTGCATGTAAAAGATAGTTCATATTTGGCTGTAAGGAAGCCGTCTTAACATGCTGATCATCATTGCTATTAATAGAAACAGTCACAAAATTGTTCCTATGGCAGTCCTACTCGCCTAAATTATAGCTGAGATTAAGGATCATAGCCCAAAATATGATCCAAGACTATGAACTGTATGATTTCATACTCATTTCAATTAACGTTGGCATTAAACTCAAAAGTGTCAACTGTAGCTGAAAACTTGAAAATACTTGCTTCATGGGTTACCCCTGTGTGTTGCAATGGAAGTTACCTGATGCTCTGTGGTGTTGCCAAATCCTGTGATTTTATTGTGAGTCATACAGTAGCTGATATTTTTCTTGAAGATCAGGCTCCTGGAATGTACTGTTGTGGGTTTTTTTTTTTAACTTTTGATTTTGTAAGTTAGTAAGTTTCCAACCCTTTGTGGCCAAGGTTTCCAAACAATTACTCAAATGCACTTTAAGAGTGCAGCAATGGTAAAGTAGAACCCAGGAGGTTTGGTTTTTATTGTTTGTTTTTGGGTGTGTTTTTTTTCTTTGAAACTCATTGTATTTCTCTAATTTCTCTGGCTTGTCCTGTGATTTTTTTGAGACTCATGATTTTTGAATCTTTAAAATTGATTATGATAATCTCTTTTCCTCCTCATACTACTGCACTGAACATAACCAGTATAATTAAGAATAGTCATCAGGATGTTTCCAGGCATGAAAAACAAAGCTCAGATCACTCTTTTTCCTTGACACCTTCTCCCTTGTACACTTGAATCATCAATACTTAAAAGGCTTTTTTGGAATACAAAGAATGGTTTTGCAACAGCACTTTGTTTTTTGTGGTTCTGGTGGTGGTCCCATTTGTTTTGAATGTCTGCTGAGGTTATAGGTTATGTACTGGAAGTGGTAGGCAAAACAGAAAAAAATGTTGTATGTAGTATTGTTCCTCGAAAAGCTTAGTCTCCATGTGTTGAATGAGAAGGTTAATACATTTTGGATTCTTTGGAACTACTCCTGTGCTATTCAGCTATTGAGACACAAGGCTATGGAGTTGTTCTTTTTGGTGGAACAAGGACAGCTTCCTTCTGTTCTTTTTGATAAGGACATCCTTCTCCATGCAGGTTTCCACGATGTAGTGGAGTGAAATCTTAAATGAAACCTCAGCTACTAGCTGGAATTACTTCGTAGCAAGTGAGTTCTCATCCCAAAAATCAGTAAAAATAAGAAGATTGTAAACTATTGACTGAGGTCTCAATGAAATTTACAGGTCTGTGAACAAGAGGTGCAAAGCAAACAACTTGAAGATACTCAGTAGACTTTAGGTGAGGCATACTGTTCATAAGAGCCAGAGAAGTCAAAAGAAAGAAGTGAACCATGAAGTAAAAGTATTGTCCCACAAGTCTGGCTCCAGCAGAAGTCACGGTGTTGATATTTTCTCTGTGGCCACTCTGGTGTCTCTTCTGTAATGTCCAGCCCAGGTTTAGCTTACATGTTCTGTGCATTTTAACCATGATGACTGGTTTATAGTGATCAGCTGAAATCTTCATAGCCAAGAAACTGCTGCCTTTTTTGAGCTCTCTTTGTGGACAAAGAAGCAAGGAAAGCTAGAATTAGACTTCCTGCAGTAGTCAAAATAAGAAGTAAAAACAAGGAAACTAACATTAGAGAGTAGATGAAAAAAGCTCACATAAGAGGCATTTTAGAATGTTGTCCTTCAGACGTGCAAATCTGTGTTTTTTCTGTTGACTTTCCCATTATATCCACACATTTTTTGTTGTTCTTTTTTTTTTTTTGTTGGCTGTGGTTTGTTTTTTTTTTTTGCTGTTGTTGTTGTAGTTTTTGTTTTTTTTTTTTTTCTACAGAAAAATGAAAGACTGCTTCTGTCCACAGCATTAGTGCAATTTTACTTTTCTAAACAGGAGAAAGTTTTGAGGAGTTCGCTCCTGTCATATAAAGTGGGTGACTGGGTAGTCAAGCAGTTTCAAAGATTCAAGTTAACTACCAAATTAACTTTCGGTGAGCTACCAGAAGAGGAGTAACCTTGCTGGTCATGAGCTACTCATTGCTTGTAGGACCACTGGGGAATTATTGAGTAAATTTATCTATGGAAGAGCCATAGCAACTTGCCATTCTCCAGGAAAGATGCATTGATTAGGGGAAGGTCTGGATTTGTGTGACTTAGAAGCAGACTAATATTATCTGATAGGGAATGGTCAAATGTGTCCTTAACCCAATTAGTTTGGGAGCGAATGGGTTGTCAGAGGGGGCGAGGCCAAGTTGTAGCAGTGTACAGTACGCCAACACCTGCTACAGGAGTGTGAAAAGAATTTGGGAAGTAAACTGCAGTCCCTCTTCAAATCATATGCTGAATTGCATCTGATTTGTTTGTGTGAAATAACGAATCCCATGAACTGTCAGGGGAGTGAAAACAGAAGCGCTGTATGGTCAGACTCTATTACAAGAATATTTGGGAAAAAATTCAATTCCATTCAGTTATGAAAGTCCTACAACTCCATTGGCTTTTGCCATTAATGTAACCTGTTTAGAAAGAAACTGACTGACTACCCAATCTTCTGCTAGTTCAGTCTTCTGAATTAAAGCCTACACAGGTCTAACTTAGAAACTCAGTGTTTGTGTCTGCAGGGAATTGCTGCTCCCTATGTGGATGTTTATTTTATTTTTGTTTTTTAAATCAAGCTGCCTGGTTTGGAGATCTCTCCTTGGGAAGAGGTCCGAGCATATTTCCAGCTGTTTGTTCCAGTGGGTGAGACTTGGCAGACCAGACATGGGTGGGAACAGCACAGGAACGACCCTCTCTCTCAGTAAGCGCAATATGCTTGAGCTGGTCTAGGTGAGGACCTTCTGTCCATAGTCTTTGGCTCTAGCCTTGAGGAGGCTGAAGAGGGGTAGGTCATGTCTGTGTCAGAGATACTGTTGTAGTTCAGCTGTCCAGTGAAATATGGAGCCTTTCAAACTCTGAGCTGAAAGCTATGTCAGTGCAGCTGAGATCTGTAGTTTGAGCAGTGAATGTCTTTCCCCTGTGCTGTCACCTACCTTGCACCATGCCACAGGTTTCCTGTGTGAACTCAGCTAGGTTACTTTTATCTCTGTGGCCCATTGGTAAAAACAGTATCTCCTTCATGTTTATCCATATTACTTATCCGAATCTTTAGGAATATAGATTGTCCCTCAGTGAGCGGAGGAACAGTACCCCATTGTCAGAGTGCTTCGATCATTACTGTAGCCTAAAAAAGTTAATACAGCTATTATTTTCTCTTCAGTGTTTGGTAAATAAGAGGTGCCATCCCAGAAAAAGGAGCAGTTTACCAAAAGGATGTTAGTATATATTGTATAGAGCACTAGATACTAGACCTTTTAAGATCCCGCCCCACCAACTTTAATGAGGCTTTGTTATTTTGCCTGGCTTCTGGGAGTTGTTGCAAAACAAGTGATCATGGAAAATAAATGTTTACCTCAGGCTTAAAATTCAGCCAGCTTGTAACATACTGCCAGCATTCTCCACCCTAATGAGTGCTCCCACTGAGCGCATCATAACCCTCACCTCTGTGTAGCAACTTCTGATACCATGAGACAAACTGGAGAGTTGGGCAGGCAGGAACCTGATGAGGTGTAACAAAAGCAAGTGTAGAGTAGTGCACGTGGGGAGGACTAACTGCATGCACCAGTACAAGTTAGAGGATGACCTCCTGGAGAGGAGCTCTGCAGAAAAGAACCTGGGTGTTCTGGTGGGCAGCAGGTTGACTATGAGCCAGCAGTGTGCCCTTGTGGTGAAGAAGGCCAGTGGTACCCTGAGGTGCATTAAAAAGAGTGTAGACAGCAGGTTGAGGGAGGTGATCCTCCTTCCTCTACTCTGCCCTGATGAGGCCACATTTAGAATACTGTGTCCAGTTCTGGGCTCCCCGGAGTTCAAAAAAGACAGGAATCTCCTAGAAGGTGTCCAGTGGAGGACCACGAAGCTGATAAAGGGCCTGGAGCATCTCCCTTATGAGGAAAGGCTGAGTAACCTGGGTCTGTTCAGCCTGGGGGAAAAAGACTGAGTGAGGAAGGATCTGATTAATGTTTATGAATATCTAAAGGGAGGTGGGAAGCGAATGGATGAGGCCAGGCTCTTCTCTTCAGTATCTTTATTGATGACCTCGATGAGGGCATTGAGTGCACTCTCAGTAAATTCGCAGATGACACCAAATTGGCTGGAAGTGTGGATCTGCCTGGGGGTAGCGAGGCCCTACAGAGGGATCTGGACAGGCTGGAGAGCTGGGCTGAAGCCAATGGGATGAGTTTCAACAAGGCCAAATGCCGGGTCCTGCACTTCGGCCACAACAACCCCAGGCGACGCTACAGGCTTGGGGCGGTGTGGCTGGAGGACTGCATAGAGGAAATGGACCTGGGGGTATTGATTGATGCTCAGCTGAACATGAGCCGACAGTGTGCCCAGGTGGCCAAGAAGGCCAATGGCATCCTGGCTTGCATCAGAAACAGTGTTGCAAGCAGGAGCAGAGAGGTGATTGTTCCCGTATATTCAGCACTCGTGAGGCCGCACCTCGAGTACTGTGTCCAGTTTTGGGCCCCTCACTGCAAGAAAGACATTGAGGCCCTGGAACGTGTTCAAAGAAGGGCAACAAAGCTGGTGAGGGGTCTGGAACACAGGCCGTATGAGGAGAGGCTGAAGGAGCTGGGAATGTTCAGCCTGGAGAAGAGGAGGCTCAGGGGAGACCTTATTGCTCTCTATAACTTCCTGAAGGGAGGTTGTAGTGAGCTGGGGGTCGGCCTCTTCTCTTGTGTCATTAGTGATAGGACCAGAGGGAATGGCTTCAAGCTACGGCAGGGGAGATTCAGGCTGGACATGAGGAAGTATTACTTTTCAGAAAGTGTGGTCAGGCACTGGAATGGACTGCCCAGGGAGGTGGTGGAGTCACCGACCCTGGGGGTGTTCAAGGAAAGGCTGGATGTTGTGTTGAGGGACATGGTTTAGTGGGAGCTATTGGGAATAGGTGAATGGTTGGACTGGATGATCTTTTAGGTCTTTTCCAACCTTGGTGATTCTATGATTCTGTGATTCTATGATTCTCAGTGGTGTGTAGTGATAGGACAAGGAGCAATGGCCTAAACCTTAAGCATAAGAATTTCCATACAAACATGTGGAAGAGTTTTGTTACAGTAAGGGTGACCGAGCTCTGAAACAGGATGCTCAGTGATGTTGTGGGGTCTCCTATGGAATTATTCAAGATTTGTCTGAACACCTACCTGTTCAACCTACTGTAGGGAGCCTGCTTTAGCAGGGGAGTTGGACTCCATGATCTCTTGAGGTCCCTTCCAATCCATGCAATTCTGTGATTAAAATCATTGGAAATTTGTCTGTGCTTTCAGTGGCAAGTAAGATCTGAGTTTGAGGTCAGTATCAAAACATACTGCTGATGAGAAGAATTATTTGGGTGAGGATGAAAGACTTTTCTTCCAGTCCCTCACAATGGCTCAGAAATCCACTGAAATGCTATCAAGAAGCCATCTTTTTCTTCAAGGAAAAAAATGTGTGTATTTAATTTCTGTAAGAAAGCATTCTAACGGTAGTGAAGAGTGAAGTTGTAGAAGGAAAAAATGATTACTCTGCTAGTAGCTGAGAGAGGGATACATTACAAATCCCTGATTGCCTGTTGTTGGTTGACTAGCAACATTAGCCCATAGAGAGCAATATGAACGCAATTGTAACACAGACATGGCTTCAAGAAAAGAGCTGTGATACATGAAGCTTAGGATGGACATAGAGTGATTTAGCCTACTTGTCCAAATACATTGCAAAGTGAGTCAGAATGAAACTGTTGTAAATAGTGTACTCCACTTCAGATAAAGTTGCATATTCATGTTAAATTCAGAACACAGTTTGAGTTGGCATTTTCAGTTCCTTAGACTCATGCTAGCTTTTTAAAATATCTTTTGAACTAAAAATATGTTTCGTGAAATTCATGAAACTTGGATAAATAACAACTCCTTTACTGCTTATACACTGAAGCAGATGGAGAGTGCTAAGACTTCTGCAACCAGTAAGCAAGTATCTCCTCAGCGTGTGAATGTAGAAAAAGCTGTTGGGTCATGTAGAATTCTACAGGAGAGCCTGTCACTGCGTA